TGCCTTCCTTTATTTTGTTATTTTTTTAGGTTTTGAATTGAGAATTTATTTATTTTCATTGTTTTTTTAAAAGATTTATTTATTTTGAAAGCGAGAGAGAGACAGAGACAGAAAGTAGGGGGAGGGGCAAAGGGAGAGGGAGAGTCTTAAACAGACTCCACGCTGAGCGTGCGGAGCCCGACTCAGGGCTCAATCTCAGGACCCTGAGATCACAACCTGACCCAAAACCTTGAGTCAGTGGCTTAAGCCACTGTGTCACCCATGTGCTCCTTCATTGTTTTGTTTTTACTGACACAGATATTAGGGTTGTGAATTTTTCTTTCACCATTGCTTTACATGTATCCCGTAGATTCTTATGTGTGGAGTGGGGAGTGGGAGAGGAAGAAGCCGGCTTCCCGCTGAGCAGGGAGCCTGATGCGGGGCTTGATCCCAGGACCCTGGGATCATGACCTGAGCCTAAGGCAGACGCCTAATGACTGAGCCATCCAGGCGTCCCCAGAATGTGATATTTTTTACATTATAAAGTGTCCTTTGTCTCACTGAATGTTTTTTGGCTTGCTTCTTTAGTATAAATATGTTCTAAATATTGCATGGGGCATACTTACACCCCCAATTACTTATTATTTAACTGAAATTCAAATTTAACTATGCCTCATATGTTTTATCTACAACGCTAAATACAGACAAGTCCTAGAAATAAGGATCATTGCCAGTACCCAGACTGTGCAAACTAAATATCAATTCTCACTAAAAGCAACTAGGCATGGCACCTTGGAGACATGACAGATCCTGCGTATACAGATGAGTCTAGAATATTTTATCACACCAGAAAGAAAGGCAGCAATGAAATGTCTCAGGAGTCAGTTTGAAGAGGCTTCTACTCCACAAGAGTGCAGAGACATCTACAAACCAGGCTCAAGTTTTTTCTTCCTCAGTGAACTGGTGATATAGAATTTCCCATGAGGCCATAGGAGCTGTGGTCCTATGGGTGATTGTGCAACTAACTTTTGCCTTTAGAATCTGTTTGAGCTTGACCTTATGCGTACCACCTTTTTATTGATCATAGAGTGCTACTATACATGCCTAAATTTAGGGCTTGGTGGGTCAGACAACACCCAGTTCACGATGGACAACTTAGGTAGCTCGGTAACTTGATGGCTCATGATCAAGAAATCAGTCTCCAGGGGCGCCTGGGTGGCTCAGTCGTTAAGCGTCTGCCTTCGGCTCAGGTCATGATCCCAGAGTCCTGGAATCCAGCCCAGGGTTGGGCTCCCTGCTCAGCAGGAAGCCTGCTTCTCCCTCTCCCACTCCCCCTGCTTGTGTTCCTTCTCTCTCTTTGTCTCGCTCTGTCAAATAAATAAATAAAATCTTAAAAAAAAAAAAAAAAGAAATCAGTCTCCACTGTGGTCCAGGAGCAAACCAGAGTTGCTTCTCAGAAATAAAAAATGACATGTTTTTTTCCCCACTCCTAAAGGACTATGACTCTGATTTCCTTATAAGTTCCATCAAAGGTTACATATATTACTCTTACCTATAATGGACATTTCAAGCACCATCAAATCTGTTGCATCATTGTGGCCCATGGATAAAAGAGCTTGCACAGCAGCTTGACCTATTTAGAGCCTTCTGCTCTCACTCCTACTCAAAACTAGTCTTTTTTTTTTTTTTTTAAGATTTTTATTTATTTATTCATGAGAGACAGAGAGAGAGAGAGGCAGAGGGAGAAGCAGGCTCCCAAGGAGCAGAGAGCCCGATGCAGGACTCGATCCCAGGACCCTGGGATCATGACCTGAGCCGAAGGCAGACGCCTAACCATCTGAGCCACCCAGGCGCCCCAAAACTAGTCTTTTGAGTGGAACAGTAATTGAGTCAGAGTAACATATGTGCTCAAATGAGGTGTATGTTGTCTCCAAAATCCAAAAAGGACCCCTAGGCATTGTGCCTCTTAGTGAGACAAGTCAAGATTCAGAAACTTTTCTTTCACTCTGGAAATGACATCTCTAGATGCCCTGACCTACTGGGCCCTTAAAAGTTTCACTGAACGGCAGTTTCCTGCAATTTTTAATTTTAGGATTTATTTTCCTCCCAAATCTTTCACGTGCCTTCTCAAGGTGACTATAGCGTAGTTGACCCTTGACAATACAGGTTTGGGTGTTGGGTGCATGGGTCCACTTATATGTGGATTTTTTTTTAAATAAATACAGTAGAGTACTGAAAGTGTATTTTCTCTTCCTTATGATTTTCTTAACATTTTCTTTTTTCTAGCTTACTTTTTTGTAAGAATATAGCACATAATACATATAACATACAGAATATGTGTTAATTGACTCAACATTATTGGTAAGGCTTCCGGTCAACTCAAGACTTCTGTTGTTCATAGTTAAGTTTTTGGGGAGTCAAAAGTTATATGCAGATTTTTGACTGCACAGGGCATAGGTGTCCCTAACCCCCGTATTGTTTAAGGGTCAACTGTGTTTGCTATTTCCTGCTCACCAAGTAGAATCAGCAGGATATTATTCACGACAGGACATTGGCATGATGTCTTTGAAATGGAGCAGCAATCAAAGTCCTTGTGGACTAGATTATGACGTAAAGCTAGAGAGTCCTAGGGTGAAACGATGAATGTATTGCTTGTCTTGGCAACTGAATGAAAACTGCTTTTGAGGGCCTTTAACTAATAGGCATAAAGTGAAAGCATTAGCCAGATCAATAGCTGCATATAAGGTGCCAGAGAGGATGCTGATACACTCCACCAATGAGAGCATATCTGGAAGAGCAGCTGCTACTAGAGTCGCTATCTAATTAAATTTATGACGATCCACTGTAATTCTTCATCCATTTGCCTTCCCTATAGGCCAAACAGGGGAGATAAATGGAGGTGTCGTGAGAATCACCACGCTGCATCTTTCAAGTCATTGAGGGTGGCAGTAATCTCTGCAATTCCTCCAGGACTATAGTATTGCTTTTGGTTTACTATTTTCCATGGTCGAGAAAGTTCTAATGGCTTCCACTTGGTCTTTCCTACCAGAATAGCTTTAAGTCCATGGGTTAGGGAACCACTGTGGATATTCTGCCAGTTGCTGAATATGTCTGTTCAAATCCTGCTTTCTGAAACTGGGGAAATAACCACAGTAACCTGATGAGCTCACCATCAGGTAAATCCTAGCCAGAACCTGGAAACAACCCAAATGTCCAACAACAGATAAATGGATAAACAAATTGTGGTATAGCCATATAATGGAATATTACCAGGGATGGATGAGGGAATGAACAACAGATACACCCAAAGACATGGATAGATCTCAAAATTAGGCTGAATGAAAGGAGCCAAAAAAACAGTACATGGTATATGATTCTGTTTATAGAAAACTGTAGAAAATGCAAACTAATCTGTAGCGACAGACAGCAGATCACTGGTCGCCTGAGGACTGTAGGTGGAGGCTGAAGAGAGACAAATTACAACGGAGCCTGAGAAAACTTCGGGGGCTGGGGAGGGGGCTACGCCGGGCCATAGAATTTGACAATACATGAGTCGTGGCAGAATGGGAGGAGCAGAAACCAGATGGCAGCGGGTTGAGAAGTGACTGGGAAGAGTGTGCAGACAATGAGTCTGTGTAACTCTGTCCGGAAGCTTACCAGGGAAGGGAATAAAACAGTGGTTTCAGTGCCATACGTTACGGAACTTCCTCCTGGGAGCTGTTTGTGATTCCAGTTAGCTTACTCCAATTAGCTGCCCCCCTCAGCCCCTGGAATACGGATCTGCTCCCAGAGTGGCATTCATTCGCCTCTCTACCTTTCTAATAACTGCCAGCCTTTATTTTCCAGAGCAATTGCTCTCTATGTAACTTCATCAGTCCAACTAAGCTCTCCCATTTTGGAATTCTGAGGGCATTTATTACCTCTTTCTCATCATATGACGTGTTCAATTCAATTTCACCAATGTTGAAAGGCACCATAGTGTTAAGCACATAGACGCTGGCATCAGATTATCTGAGTTTGAATCTCAGCTCTGTCATGCAGTGGCTGTGTGACCTTGGTGAAGCTGCTTAGCCTCTCTGTGCTTCAGTTTATCATTAATTTACCGGACATAATAAGAGTACTTTTTGCTATAAATATTAGAGGAGTTAGTATTTATAAAGAGCTTAAACCAGCGTTTGCCACATTCTAAGCCCTAAGAATGTTAATAAAAATCAATTTGTGTTCCTATTACAGGAAGGTTCATGCTCACAGTTATGTGGTATACAGGGATGTCTGCGGCATTTGCCTTAACCTGGAGTGAGGAGCTAGCAATTGCCCGTCAGCTTTAAATTTTCTTAGAGATCTTCTGTGCCTTGGCCCAGCGGCCTCTGCACTTGGTCAGCTTTGGCATGAAAGCCAAAGATGGTGGACTCTCAATAGTCACTTCTCAGAACCTAGCTGCAAGTTGGAAGGATGGTGACTGCTAGAATTCGCGAGAGGAAAGACAGAGCCACGCTGGGAAGGGAGATGTTAACCTTCCCAAGATTTTGGACACTGCGTTTCAACCAGCTCACGGTGATATTCATGGCTAGCCCTAAAGGCACGGTCTGCCTGTTCAGGCCCCACGCCACTCCCCACGCCCTGACCCCTGCTGCACCCCGGCAGCGTGCCCAGCCTCAGCCCCACCCCTGCAGTCGCCCCCTGCCCCGCCTCCCCCTTATCCCGCCTCCCCCCTCCCCCCGCCTCCCCGAGGCTCCAGAGTATAATCCCCGCCCTGCAGTGTGCCTCCTCAGCCCTTCTCTGTTGCCCCGCCTCTTCTCCTCGCCCCGCCTCCCCGCGGTTTCTAGGGTCCCAGCCTGCGGTGAGCCCCGCCCCTCCTCTTCTCGTCGCCCCGCCTCTCCCCGTTAGTCCGCCTCCCCGCGGCTCCTATAGTCCCCGCCCTGCAGTGAGCCCCGCCCCTCTCTCCTCGTCGCCCCGCCTGTCCACGACGCCCCGCCTCCCCTCGGTCTCTATAGCCCGGCCGCCGCCACGGCCCGCACCGCAGCGGCTGCCACCGGAGTGGCGTCGGTGGCTTGGGGAGCCGGCCGCCATGGCGGCGGAAGCCCTGGCAGCCGAGGCCGTGGCTTCACGCCTGGAGCGGCAGGAGGAGGACATCCGCTGGCTGTGGGCGGAGGTCCAGCGCCTGAGGGACGAGCAGCTGAACGCGCCCGACCGCGGCCAGGCCGAGGGGCCGTGCCTGACGCGGGAGGTGGCGCAGCTCCGGGCGGAGAACCGCGACCTGCGCCACCGCCTCTACCGCCTGCGGCTGTGCCTCGCCGAGGAGCTGAGCCAGCAGGCGCCGCTGGAGAGCGGGGCGCAGGCAGCGGCGGCGCAGGAGGAG